ACAAAGTTGAATTTAAAGTGTGTAACAAAACGCTGATTGGACAAAACATACAATAGTAACAGAACAACCTATGCATTTACAAGGAAAGTTTTAAATTAACACGATAAAGGTGATGATTAAGTATAGGTCTCTCCCATTGAGTCTGGATACCTTCTTTGATTTTAAGTTGAAAAGCTGTGGATTCGTGATCTAAGATGTTAAAACACTCATCAGAACAGAGAGAGCGACATTGTGGAGAATTATGTAGATGTCGGAAAATGTGAGAGGTCCTATCAGCATTTTGTTATACACTCTAAATTCATACTCTGTATTATTCAGAACTGAAGATGACAGAAGAACATGTTTTTAAAGAGTTAAATGTCCTTTATAAAACAACTAAAGCTAATCTTCACGTCAAGTGCATTTCTTTACCGCAGACAAAACAAACCTTATCACTGGTATCAATGTTTCAGTTCAATTTAACATAAATTTGTCTCAAAATCCTAACCACTCCTTATAGTATTTCCGAAATTGTGGGAGGCAAATACACGGTCGATGGTGTTAGATTTTTAAGGTGAACAAAACACGACAATCAGAAAAACAATCATACAACGGAATAAATCAAGGACAAGCTGTTCACCATACAACACTAATTTCTGGTTACCATGTATCTACGGCAAAAAACCATGTATCACCGGAAAAACCAAGAAAACTTCATTGCATTTGCTTTCACTCGTCTTTAATGCTTCACAGTACCTTGGAATGGAAGTACAATGTAAATTTTAAATGTTCATCGAAATTACAGTTTCAACGGCGACTATTTTCATACTAATGATGTTGCGAACATCACATTAGATGAGCAAAAAATATACGTTACTGAAGAGTTCAGAATAATGTTGGGTCGCAATTAAGGAGGAAACTATGTGCTGTCAAGCCCACTCTGGCTAATTTCTTTGACTGTTATAATTTGATTCTCTCAGAATACTTTTTACTGACCTCTCCCTAAATTGTGCTTGTGATTTGTTCATCGAAATTACAGTTTCAAGGTTACTATTTTCGTACTAATAATGTTGCGAACATGACATTAGCTGAGCAAAATAATAATAATAATAATAATAATAATAAATTACTGAAGAGTTCAGAATAATGTTGGGTCGCACTTAAGGAGGAAACTATGTGCTGTCAAGTTCACCATACTCGGCGAAAGGCACCAAGTACTCTCGATCTGCCTTCCTCGGTTCTCTAATACATAATCAATTCTACTTACATCCAATTTTACCCCACTCTGTGGAACTCTAGTTAATTTCTTCGACTCTTACAATTTGATTCTCTCTGAATACTTTTTGCTGACCTCTCCCTGATTTGTGCTGCGCATGCTACTAAATGAACTATGAAGTACATGCTTATATAGTCCCTATCGATAGGCATGGGCGGACATGCCAATCAACTGGCCTTGATTGGTTATTTTAGACTACGACGTCTACAAAGTAGACAATGACTCAAGCATGGCGAATCTATATCGGGTCACTTACACGCAAAGAATTCTGATATTTTTCGCCCATAAATAGTATATTTAGTGTTTCTTTAAATAAATCTTTTGCCACAAAATATTTATTTGCAATATTTGCCTCGCCTTATAATCATAGTTTTCGAATAGCACGTGGTATTTGTTAAACCTCCAATGTGCAAACCGATTTTGTAATCTGATCACCAAGTATTCTGTATTAGTTTTTTCTACCATTTTGATAAAAATGTTAGATAAAAATATTAGAGAATACTCGAAGATCAGATTTCAAATTACTTAAAAGTACATTTTGTCTGTAACTATCATTTTTTTCTAGTTTCAGAATAAGCTGTCTCTAAATTCCCTGCAACCAGGTACGTTCTAAAATAGACGGAGTGTCTGGCAGTCAGACATTTTCACAGAATTTCCACCGAAAGGTTCTTACAAACTTGTTAAGTTTAACAGATGTTTCTTTAGAAATGTCAAAGACTAATTTGGCTTTTAGTGGACAAATTCTCCGTGCTGTGCAGCCTATAGTATCGCTCGGTTGCCGACACTTTGCAATTGTACGCTTAAGATCAGATTGCGGGGCACGGTCTCGAATAGACCAAATGCCCGGCAGTCAGAATTTTTCAAAGTGCCACTAAATGGTTCCATTCTCCAATGATCAAAATGTTAGATAAAAATAGTACAGAATACTTGGCGATAAGATTTTAAAATACTCAAAAGTACATTTTGGCTAAAACTATTGTTTGTTTTAATTTAAGAGCAAGTTGTTAAACCGTTATTTCCTAAGAGCTCTTTTTAGTAAAAATTCGATTTATTTTACATTTATGGAGCGCCGTTTTTCCCCAAAAGATTTAAATTGCAAGAAAACAATATCCAAACGACTGCGTTTACGTTGTCTTAAAACAATTGGTTCATACGTGCGTTCATGAAGACATGAAGCGCGTGGAAAGTTTTAAAATCACTCAAGAAGGTAAAGTTGCTCTCGGCGAGGCCTCGAGCAACTTCCCTGTCGCTGTCAAAACTTAGACTGTTATTTCTTTAGGGCTTTTTTTTTAGTAAAAATTCGATTTATTTTACATTTATAGGGCGCCGTTTTTCCCCAATGGTTTTAAATTGCAAGAAAACAACATCCATACGTGCGTTCATGGAGACATGGAGCGCGTGGAAAGATTTTAAACGACGCCTCGAGCAACTTCTCTTTCTCTGTCTCCCGTTTATCGGCCATGAGCGCACGCTAAAGTATGAACCATTTGTTGATTCAAAGTGACAGTATGGTAAACTAGTGCATGTGTAGAACATAAAGATATCAGATGTTGGAAGAAAATATCATGAAAAGGAATTGATTTAATCAACGGTTTTTTATATCTCTGCTTCAATAAACTTGTGGAGTGATGGTCTTAAATATGTTGATGGACGCACAGCTGTCTTGAGGTTGCGACGTTTGAGATACGTGTAGCCGAACTAAAACCGTGTGTACCTGATCTAGAAATGTATACAAGCGAACAGCTTCAGACCCATGCGGTCACAGCTGCTTGGGTTGATCAATCAAATCTTTATTTCACTGGACAGAGAGGGTTGACTAATCTCATGTTATGACTATATTTGGTCATGGACAATTGACACCAGGTTCATTGGCCTAACAATTTTGGGTGAGTGGTACTGTAGGCACGCATTTTTATCGCAGTATTTGTTTGTTATTAAAACGCGATATGAGTTAAGTGCAAGTGGGAACACCACTGCTGCCACGGTACACACCATCAAAGACAAAAATTCCGGTTAGACATTTGTCAGTTAAGAGTGAGGCGTACTCTGAAGTGAAGAGACCTTGAATGACCTTTATCTATTAGCTATTATAGCTATTATCTTAAAGGGTCACGTGACAGGCTCTGTCTCAGAGTGTACATGAATTAGCCAGATCAAAGAATCTAGAAAGAACCGTAAATAACAGAGAGCTGCCACTTGTTACGCCATTATGTCAAGTATTGTTTAAAAGTTATGCTCTTTCAGAATTCCCAGGTTATCCAGGACATCGTTTAAAACATTTGAAGAGAAAGCTTGCAAAATTGGAAGTAAAGCCCAGTTCTGATAACTCGAATGCTCGCTCGTGGGTTTCCGTCATTTATGTATACCGTGGGGTATACCCCAGATGACTTTAGAAGATAACAGCCCAAATCTGAAATATATTGAAAGACCAAATTTTGTTTTTCTAGCACAGATTTCAGTTTTCTTTGTAAGTGACTTCTTCTTTCTTTATTATATCTTGGAATTTTCTAACGTTAACGTTTGAAGAATTCTTTTGAGAGCATAGATTTCTTTCAAGCCTACGAAATATACTGTTCAAAACAAGTAAAGTGTCCTCGTGTATCCAACGTTTTATTAACATGACACAAATATCAATTCTACATTTATAAAGTCATTTCAATCTGGTTATGAGATTTTCGTAATCTGATCACCAAGTATTCTGTATTAGTTTTTTCTACCATTTTTATAAAAATGTTAGATAAAAATATTAGAGAATACTCGAAGATCAGATTTCAAAATACTTAAATGTACATTTTTGCTATAACTATCATTTTTTCTAGTTTCAGAATACGCTGTCTCTAAATGCCCTGCCACCAGATACGTTCTAAAATAGATGAAATGTCTGGCCGTCAGAAATTTTCCCAGAATTTCCACCGAAAGGTTCTTTCAAACTTGTTAAGATTATCAGATGTTTGTTTAGAAATGTCAAAGACAGTTGGCTTTTAGTGGAAAAATTCTCTGTGCTGTGCAGCCTATAACATCGCTCGGTTGTCGACAATTTGTACGCTTCTGATCAGATTGCCGGGCACGGTAAAGCCCGGCGGTCAGAATTTTTAAAGTGCCATTAAATGGTTCCATTCTCCGTTCTCCATTGATCAAAATCTTAGATAAAAGTAGTACAGAATACTTGGCGATAAGATTTTAAAATACTCAAAAGTACATTTTGGCTAAAACTATTATTTATTTTAGTTTAAGAGCAAGTTATTAAACCGTTATTTCTTTAGAGATTTTTTTAGTGAAAATTCGATCTGTTTTGCATTTATCAAGCGCCGTCTTTTCCCAAAAGATTTAAATTGCAAGAAAACCATATATATATACAACTGCGTTTACGTTGTTTTAAAGCATCTGGTTCATACGTGCGTTCATGGAGACATGGAGCGCGTGGAAAGTTTTCAAACGACGCCCCGAGCAACTTCTCTGTCGCTGTCTAAACTTCCCGTATATCGGCCATGAGCGCACGCTAAAGTATAAAGTAATTGTTACTTCAAAATGACAGTATGGTTAACTAGTGGATACCCTGTATAGAACATATGGAAGAAAATATCATGAAAAGGAATTGATTGAATCAACGGTTTTTGATATCTCTGCTTCAATAAGCTTGTGGAGTGCTGGCTTTGAATCTGTTCATGGGTGCACAGCTGTCTTGAGGTTGCGACGTTTGAGAGTCGTGTAGCCGAACTTAAAACCATGTGTACCTGATCTAGAAATGTATTCAAGCGAACAGCTTCAGAATCATGTGGTCAAGTCGGTCACGGCTGCCTGGGTTAATCAATCAAAATCTTTGTTTCACTGCACAGGGGGGGATTGACTAATCTCATGTTATGACTATATTTGGTCATGGATGATTGAAATCAGGTTCGTTGGCCTGACAATTTTGGTGGATGGTACTGTAGGCACGCATTTTTTTCGCAGTATTTGTTTGTTATTACAACACAATATGAGTTAAGCGCAAGTAGGAACACCACTGCCGCCACGGTACACACCATCAAAGACAAAATTTCATTTGGAATTTGTCAGTTAGGAGGGTGACGTTCTCTGAAGTGAAAAGACCTTGAATGACCTTCATAACGATCAGGTACCTTTTATATTAAAGGGTCACGTGACAGACTCTGTGGCAGAGTGTACATGAATTATCAAGGAATCTAGAAAGAACTGTCAATAACAGAGCTGCCACTTTCCATGCCCTTATGTCTAGTATCGTTTAAAAGTTATGTTAGTCCGAATTCCAAGGTTATCCAGAGAACTTTCTAAAACATTTGCAGAGAAAGCTTACAAAACTGGATGCAAGACCCAGTTCTGATAACTCGATCGACCGCTTGCCCGTAGGATTCCGTCATTCATGTATACCGTAGGGTATACCCCCAGATAGCTTTAGAAGATAACAGCACAAATCTGAAATATGTTGAAAGACCAAATTTTGTTTTTCTAACACACATTTCAGTTGTCTTTGTAAGTGACGTCTTCTTTCGTTATTACATGTAACGAATTTTCTAACGTTAACGTTTGAAGCATTCTTTCGGAGAGCGTAGATTTTTTTCAAGCCTACGAAATTTACTGTTCAAAGCAGGTAAAGTGTCCTCGTATATCCAACGTTTTATAAACATGTAACACAACTATGTATCACATGCTTCGTTGCACCAACATGTATTACCGTATTATTGTACGGACCTTTGTAAAATTTACACCTTTGCACGCCTTGTACATATTTAGTGATTGCAAGGCATTAAATATTCAGTTTTGGACGTGTAACAGAAGCGTGAACAAACACGACACAGATATCAATTCTGCACTTATAAAGTCATTTCAGTTTGGTTCTGAGATTTCTTTCATTCATATGACCGCTGCGTCTGCATTGCTGGAATCTCTTCAGAAGAAAATGGAGCTGCTCAGAATATTCCTAAATGTGAGTGGTAACTTGACCTTCGCAGAGAAATATTTCAATATTTCACAAGTTCTTTACTATTTATTTACAGCACGGTTAACCTAAGATCGATTCGTCTTCTATTTTTCTATTGTTTATTTTAAGGTAACATGTCGTGAAAATCCAAAGTGTCGCAAAATGGACTTGAACTCATTTATTCTCGCTCCTGTACAAAGAATCATAAAATAAGTTAAACTTGATTGGCTGGCAAGTCAATCAGGCAGACGATTAATTTTGTCTTTAGGTGGGTCAGTCAATTCGATAGTACGTACGTAATTCAGTCAGTCAGTCCGAATATATGTACTCTGTGATGCTCTCGAAGGTGTCCTCCTGATCATTAAACTGTTTGTTGAAAACGTTAACTTTGAAAGTCTTTTCTCCAGTTTGTACCTTGTAGGGTAAGAACACTAATGACCTTAAAAAAAAACAACTATAAACGACAGGATGTATTTCATGTTATATGTGAGATTTACTTTGTATAGAACCATACGCACTAAGTTTCAAAATTTGTCTGCTCTGCCAAAAATCTTGTTACGTTTTGTCTCCGCTAAATTATAAATTTAGTAATTATATACGCAGTTGAAACATTTGATAACAGCAGAGTCTATTACCTTGAAATCGAACACCTTTATTTCGATTCCGTTCGCATGAAAGCGCACGGTATACATGTTTACATGCAGCCGTCGATTCTTGAGAGAAAATGTTGCCTCATCATATAATTGCGTTCGACGAGGGGGAACGCATACTAATCGTGTCGTTGTTGGGGAAATCACTCTTGAGGGTTTTATGGACTAGTTCCTCAGGCATTGGGCGCCATTTTGGACTGGCTGGCTGGCTGGCTGGCACAAATAGCCTCGATCTCACGTGCAAATGATTTCTTGGTCGCCTTGAGCTGAAGACACCAATTATTTTCTCTGCGCAATCAATAAAATAAAAAAAACTTTTACTACAGATCGAACGCACTTTGCCAATCTTTGATTACTATTAGTTATATTTTTTTGGTCCTTCATGTTGGTTGTAGACTTCGCCGTTTTTCATCGTTGTCTTCATAGATCGATTGCTAGAAAGAGTGAACTATTGTAGAATATTTCTCAAATTTCAGGTCTGTAGCCATTTCCGCTGATTAGTTATTAGCCTAAATGTCTGACATAAATTTATAGCGCTTCGGATGGGAACGCCAAGTTGGAGCCCATGCAAGGGGTGTCAACATGGCGGCCATGAAGTAATGCAAACATTTGCTGTCTTGAAATTAAGAGATCCTTGCAGCTACGAACACTACTGGAACGAGTAGTTGAAAATAGGACCTGACATAAATTCAGGCCTGTACGGGATTTGAACCCATAACCTCTGCGATACCAGTGCAGCGCTCTACCAACTGAGCTAACAAGCCAACTGGGAGCTGGTAATTTGTTGGGTCCAAATAAACCATCCAAGTAATGAATGAAGATTTTAGATATATGAATTTCATATATTTGCACTGCGGTGAAGAGATGAAATTAAGAGATCCTCGCAGCTACGAACATTACTGAAACGAGTAGTTGAAAATAGGACCTGAAAAAAAATTCAGGCCTGTACGGGATTTGAACCCATGACCTTTGCAATACCGGTGCAGCGCTCTACCAACAGAGCTAACAAGCCAACTTAAAAGCTTTTATTTTTACCGCTATGTTTAAATTTAAAAAAGGCATCTATATTTTCGAGTTTTTAATTTGTATAAAAATGCAATTTAGAATATCAGGAAAAAAAAATCTGACACGTGCAAAACTGTAAGTACAACTTCAGGGCAATGTCGTTGGAACAGTTTGATTTATTTCATGTACTTGCTTTTGATTTAACATCAAAACATCACAACAACATCATAAATGATGTTGCAAGTCAGCTAAAACAATGATTTTCTATTATGGCCTAGATGAGCAAGGCTTAACTGCCATGCTACATGTTTCTTAGTGCTTCGAAACTTTGTAAACGAACTCCCAGCAATCACTGGGCAAGTCCTCGGCTGCAGAGAAAGGTGAAGACTCTTTGGACATGCACATCCATTCGCCAGCTTTCTCCAGCTCCGTCATCATCTCTTTTAGTGTTCATCATCTCTTTTATTATGTTGAAACAGAGGAAGCCATCTGAAAAGAAGTTAACATTGGAATTTAGTGCGGATCTTGAAAGGTTTTATCATGGGAAATTTGTGAACCCTTTCACTGCTAAGATCTCTTTAGTAATTCTCTTCAATATGGAGAAATTCTGTCTTGGTCACTCATGGGAGTAAAAGGGTTAACCTATAAACTGTAATATCATCCAAAGAGAAGTTGAAGAGACCAGCTTGGGGGCGTGCTCTTGGTGTATCAAAAAATTCTTTCAAGCGAATTTGCAGAGAGAAGATTTGACCCCAGAAGAAGATTTACGGGTCAGATGCCAGATTTTAAGGGAATTTATCAAGAAGGGTGTTACGTGAGTCCTCACTACCGGATCTCACGGTTTGAGTTTTCTAAAAACAAAAACAACCAAGCAAAAAAACTGCCAGATGATTTTCCACGTTTTTCCTTTTCTAAAATCTTGAAAGATTCAAAACAATGTGAGCAAATTTATTCAACCACAGGTGCTTTGCAACAGCAACCAAATGATTCTTTGGTGTCAAGTCCAACAATTTGACACAGAACAGACCCCTCGCCGACATCCTCTCATCGCTTGTTTTGAGGAGTGTTTTAGCATCTTGGATCACGCTTCCACAACTTTTCAACTTAAAATCAAAGAAGCTACCACATTCAATGGGAGAAACCTACTCTTAATCATCAACTTTATCATGTTAATTTAAAACTTTCCTTGTAAATGCATACATTGTTCTGTTACTATTATTTGTTTTGTCCAATCAGCACTTTGTCATACGCTTTAAATTCAACTCAGTACTTTGTATTATTCAGAACTGAAGATGACAGAAGAACTATCGAAACATGTTTTTAAAGAGTTGTATATCCTTTATAAAACAACTAAGGCTAATCTTCAAGTCAAGTGCAGTTCTTTACCGCAGACAAAACAAACCTTATCACTGGTATCAATGTTTCTGTTGAATTTATCATAAATTCTTCTCGAAATCCCCACCACTCCTTATAGCATTTCCGAAATTGTTGAAAGCAAATATACGGTCGATGGTGTTAGATTTTAGAGGTGAACAAAACATGACAACCAGAAGAACAATCATACAATAGAATGAATCCAGAACAAGCTGTTCACCATATAGCAATAATTTCTGGTTACCATGTATCTGCGGCAAGTGAACATCATCGGAAAAACCAAGAGAACATCATTGCATTTGCTTTCAATCGCCTTCAGTGCTTCACAATACTTTGGAATGGAAGTCCGATGTATGTTTTAAATGTTCATCGAAGTTACAGTTTCACAAGGTTACTATTTTTATACTAATGATGTTGCGAACATTACATTAGCTGAGCAAATAAAAATACGTTTCTGACGAGTTCAGAATAATGTTGAGTCGCAATTAAGAGGCTGTCTCTCTTATTTCCACCCGGTCAATTTTGCGTCAAAAATAATTTTGCCTGAAACTCTGTTAACAGAAGGACTTTACCTAGGAAAGAACTAAATTAGATTTGGTTTGATTCGAAATAATTTTCTGACTGCATTACGGGCCATAATTATTTCCCAGTCCGTAGGGACCGTCGCAACGTCTCAAAAATTGAAAAATAGGCATATTTTGTAACGTTGTAAAATATTTGATTCACATAGTTAAGCCACAGAATTTATATCAGATTGCTTAAAAACCTTTCTAGTTTGCCAAGAAAGTTAGAATTTGCCCTCTCGACATATTTGAAAAGGCGAATTTTAGCATATTCTGACCACTAGAAATCGCCATCGGTCGATGGCCGTAAATAACCTTGATTTAGACGCTAAGTTTTGGGATTTGGGACCTGGTTGACGATTCTATCCTACACAGCCGTTAAGTTTAGACCTTTATAGGCAAAAATATGCAAAAACCCCTGTACGTTTTCGATTTTTTTTCAAGTTATGACCATTTGAATCAGCACATGTACGAGCATTCGCGATTTTTTCGCCTACACCAAAATCGAACCACTGGAGCAGATTTCGTCATAAATACAGCTTACCCGCTTTGCAGCCCGGCTTCATGGCTCACTTCAGAATTTTTCTAATAACCAGATTGGTGAAATCCATGATAACTTTAACAAATAGCTAGGTATTGCCTTCGAAAAGTAGGCGGCATCCATCGTGATTCGTGGTATCAAAACAAATGCCGGAATTGGCCACATTTCGCGGTGAATCACCCATTTAACATCGCTGCAGAGCTGAATTTTTTCCAAAATCAGAATATAAACTCTCCATGTTTGGAAGCTGAGGGAGAAATGAAGGTTTTAGGCTTCTGAAGTGAAGAAATAATCGCTCAAATTTAGATCCAGTTCGATGTTATACTGTTCTCACAAAGGTCCGCACAAAAGAGAAGACCGCTGATAGCATGTGCCGTACGTTGTGCCGTATGGTTTTGTTTTGTATCCCAATGTAATATTTGGGCAGAAAAATTTTGGATGAAAAGAATAAATGCTTTTACCTGGAGTTTGATATCATATAATTAATAACTCAATTTCAAATATCCTGAGCTTGCTTCTCTCGGTTCCGCGTCGATTGTGTCCACAGAACAGCAACCTGTCTATAGCCGGAGAAATTATGGGTTTATGTGAAATAATTTCAGATATTCCTCGCTTCCCAAACTGGTGAACTGGACTTTATGATAACTCCAGCAAATACCTCCAAAATTCAGCGGTCGGCATCTGTCGATACTCTTCTTTGACTCGTTGTTGCGAACTAAACTCGAAAACTAAAGCCATGTTTCGCGCTTAATGTCCCGTTGAAACTTTGGATTGCAGCTGCATTCACTTCAAGAATCAGTCATAGAACTCCACTTGTAGGTCTATGTGTCGAAGTTTGGCGTTTTGGGATTTAAAGCTGTACGATTGCACTATCGCGCATAACAGAGGTCCGCATTAATCATTGCGGGTGAACCCGCTGACCCTTTATTTTTTTTGGAAGGCCTGCAAGTGTAGTATGGCATGCAAGTGCTTTTTCGAAACCAGAGAGGCTTCAGTCTGTAGCGAGTCCTCAGCGAGGTTGTTAAAGGTTTCATTGGACAGAGGATACGCATTGGCGAAACACCCAGTGAAGGGAACAAC